GAACTTATAGGCGAACTTTGTATTGTTATTCGTTCTACTTGAGTTCATTCCATGTAACCTAACTTTTGTTGTTGTAACTTCAGTTACCACATGAATAAAATTATAGTTTTATCCATTGATTGCCCTCTTCTTTCGTGCACTTAATAATCGTAACTTAGGATTTTTAGCAAACCCTCAGCTATTAACGGATTTGATTTACCTTTACCAATTACCATTTGAATTGGGCTAGTCGTACTATTCCCCTCAGTACGATGAGTTGTCGAGGAGTTTATTTTAGACCTAAAGCTAAACTTTCTTCTCTCCCCTTAGCCGTTCAGGCATCGGGTTACGTTAATTACAATAATTACATTGTAAATCAGGTTAGGCCGTGTCATTTGGTGTGACGACTTAGCCCAAGAGTGAAGTGGCGACTCATCGCTTGGTAGGTCGCTATCTGGGAATAGGGGATTGATAAGGCACATCGCTTGGTAGGTCGTTATCGATGAACAATGTCATCTACGGGAATGAGAGTGTTGGAATAATTAAGCCGTTTAGGGACGTAGGAGCATGACGACTGATTAGAATAGTAGCACATCGCATGGTAGGCTATTATCATTGATTGTTCTAATAAGGTTAGAATGCTCATAAAGGATCAGGCTATTCATGGACGTAGGAGTATGATAACTTATTAGAATAGTAGCACATCGCATGGTAGGCTACTATCATCGATTGTTCTAAAAAGATTAGATCGCTCGGAAAGGATCAGGTCATTTAAGGACATATGATTATGATGACTGATTGGAATAGTAGCACATCAAATGGTAGGCTACTATCATCGATCGTTCTAAGAAGATTAGAACGTTCGAAAATAATCAAGCCGTTCAGGGACGTATGAGTATGACGACTGAATAGAATGGTAGAGCATCGCGTGGTAGGCTACTACTTATCGGGTAACGTCATTTGCGAAAATGATGGAGTTGACTATCAGAGGTAATCATTAACATGATCGGAATTTGTAGACCCACCATCCTGTTGAAGAGGATTGGTGGGGGCAATCTGGGAGGAGATTAGTTATCAGAGGTGAGCGTTAACGTGATAATTTTGTGTGGACCTGTCGTCCTATTGAAGAGGATCGACGGGGGAATTTGGAAGAGATCAGCTATCAGAGGTGAGTGTTAACGTGATAACTTTTTGTGAGTTGAAGGAAGACTATGGGTAGTACTTCTTCAGAAATTTTTTGTTAATAGGCATCATGATCTTATTGTCATTCGGTTTGACGAGGTGATAAGCTTCATTCGAATAGACCGTCTCTATTACAAAAGCTCCTTCCCATTTGGGTTGGAATTTTTCTTTCTTTTTGGAGTTGAGTATCATCGGTCGTCGAACAGCAAGGACCAACTCTCTCTCTCTTTGAAAGATCTGTGTTTGGCTTTCTTGTCGAAAGCCTTAGATATTCGGGCTTGATAGAACTCGATATGTTGTTGAGCTTCAAGTCGTTTTTCATCTAACACCTCTAATTCTATGAGACGTTGTTGATGACTTTCTTCAGTGGTCATCCCTGTTGCAAGTGCGATACGTAAGGATGGAATATAAATTTTTAGAGGTAGTACAGCCTCACAACCGTATACTAATGAATAAGACGTGGTGCCTTTTGGGGTGCGGACCGTGGTGCGGTACGCCCACAAGCTTTCACCGGCTTCTTGTCCCAATCTTGTTTGCTAGCGGACATTAGCGTCGTTAAGATCTTAACGATCGTTTTGTTGAAAGCTTCGGCTAGTCCATTTGTTGACGGATTGTATACAGTGGATGTTAGGTTCTGTATTCTGAACTTATCACATAATTGAGTGAATGCATGACTAACGAATTGCGACCAGTTATCATGAATGATAGGTCTTGGAACGCTGTATCTATAGATGACATGATGTTTGATGAATTTGATCACATCGTTGGTTTTGACTTATCTTAAAGGAATAGCTTCGTCCCATTTAGAGAAGTAATGAGTTATCGCTACGATAAAACGATGACCTTTTGCTGATGGCAGAAATATCACTCAGACGATATCCAACCCCATGTTTCAAACCACCACGAAGTCACTGTCGGGTGCAGGTCTTTGGGCGGTCAATGTATGTAATTAGCGTGAATCTGACAGCATGGCAGTATTTAGCATAAGTTACTGCGTCATTGACCATTCTTGGCCAATAGTAGCTCATTCTTCACAAACGATCCCAAAGCTTGGGTCCGGGTTGATGAGCTCCGCAGGTACCATCATGGGCTTTTCACAGGGTTTATTGTGCTTCTGTCATTGAGAGGCACCAAAGCGACATGCCGTCATATGACCTACTGTAAAACCCCGAAAATTTTGAGGTTATAAATAATAAATTGAATTAGTATGTGATTAATTATAATGGGTGGATATTTATTTTGATAAATATCATTAGATGGTATATGAGTACACTAACAAGTATTTTGAGTATAAATGTAAGGACCATGAACTTTCGATACTAGTTAAATTAATTTTTTGGTATTTTAAAATATTTAATTATTATTTTTAAAAGAGTAATTGTATTTTTCTCGATTTTCTAGATTTTTCTATGATTTAAAGTCCAAGTTTTATATTTATTTACATGTTATTAATATTTATAAATTAATTTTTATGCGGTGAAAAATTCTGAAATTAATCTGTTGTATTATCGATACTATTACATACTATTTTAAATAATACATTGTATTATTGTTACTATTATGTATTATTTCGTGTATTATATTGAATTATTAATTACATATTATTTGTGTAAATTATGGTATTATTTTAATTATTGCGTATCAGCTATCGTTTTAGCATAACTGGTACGTTTTGTTGTGTAGATAATTATCCCATAATTATTTGATTTTAAATATAAAAATTATATTTTTTGTTAATTATTCTCGTTTAATTATACAATTTATGGTATTATTTCTATTATTGCGTATTATATGTTGTATTAGTACAACTGGTATGTTTTGATGTGTAGATAATTTTCACGTAATTATTTAATATTTTTGTGATTATAATTATTTTTAATTAATTTTTCAAAACCCAAACCCAAACCTATATATATATATATATATATACTAGTATTCATCCCGTGCTAAGCACGGCATCCTTAAGGATTATTTTTGTGCGTAATTTTTCCTCATCTCATTTTTTTGTTTTGTCACAATAAATTTATCTTAAACATACTTGAAGTCCATCAAATATAACCAATGAGGATATTGTTATGTCACGATAAATTTATCTTAAACATAGTTGAAGTCCATCATATATAACCAATGAGGATATGCAGATAGGTATTTGTTTGCAATTCATCATGTACTTGAAGTCCATATTTAAACATAAAAACATAGATAGTTAAAACTCTTAACATAAATAGTCAAATCTCTTGCTTATCTCTTCAAGTAATGTATATAGTTGTGAAGTTCAACATTATGGATCTGTTAATCATTTAACTTGGCATTTAACCTAACAACTGTGATATATGATCTGATATATGCTCCTGTAAACTTGTAAAATTTTTTGAATAAAACATCAAATATTTTACATATACAGATAAAAAAGATCAAATCCATTGCAATTACATTTAACAAAAGTATCGAAATTAAGTTTCAAAATACATCTTAAACCTTTGCATAATTACAACTACATAATATTGATTAATGATGAAAAAGGCCAATTGCACTTAATTACTCTACAGCATCGACACTTAAATTTGATATCTTGAAGTTCAAATTTGCCAAATAATACCATAAAGTTTCATAAATTTTATCTTTAATATCCCCAGTTATAGTTTCATAAATTTTATCTTTAATATCCCCAGTTATACCACCGTTTAAACTTTTGTTTAAAAGGCTTCACATTTGGACCTCTACATCCCCAAAATTCCATCCATGTCCCTATCTTCCTTCTTCAGTCAACTAAAAGCACTAAAATTTGGCATTGAATTGTAACAAAAAGTCAAAAACAACCTATGCTTAACAATTTTGACAATAAAATTCGATGTGAATGCCCTAAACTGAAAGCAAGAATGAACACAAAATGTTTTCTGGGAAAATTTATACTTCCAGGTGAAAACTTGACTAAACCTCAAGGTATTAAAGTGCAATTAACCCCAAAAAATATTTAAATTTAAAAAACAAAATAGAAAAATCCCTCACCAGAGACAGCGAACTCTCCTCTATATTATATCCTGCACAACAAATTCCAAAAATGAAAACAAATCAGTGGTTTCAAAAATAATGAGAACAACATCCCAACTCCCTCTAACCAGATCTCCGCTCGATCTCACCGGATCCAAACAAACCCTAGGGTTAGGGTTTCGAACCAAGAACTAACCATTAGGGAACCGATTGTGGAGTCCAAGGAGCACCGATCTCGTGCCGATGAGAGAGAGAGGAAGACGATGACCGGAACGGTGACGGAGAAGCAAGCACACCGCCTCTTCGTTGCCAGAGGATGACCGGAAGTGGCGTTGTGACTCTTCATCCGATTGTGGATTTCCATGCACAAACTAATTCTTTTCTTGGGGTTGAAAAGCATCAAAGTTGTACATTGGAAATTAATGCATCCAGTGGCATGAACTTGTAGCATTCAATATTCGGCAGGCAAAATTGTCTGACCCCAGTTTAAGACATGTTTCAATTTTTCTCCAAACGTCTGAAGCATATTCAAACTTGAAATGTCCTGCCTAAAACATGTTGGTCTCCATGAAGATAGTTTACAAATTACAAACCCATACAACTTGCACAAAGCATTGATCGATACCAACACACATTGATTATATCGTATAGGAAGTTAAACATGATGATCAAATCAAGTCAAAGCTGACTGACACTATCTATGTTGGCTACTAATGACTACCAATATTGGCTAATAACTCAAATCAAGTCAAAGCTGACTGACACTATCTATGTTGGCTACTAATGACTACCAATATTGGCTAATAACTGATTAGAATACCAACATTGGCTAAACTATCTATGTTGGCTACTAATGACTACCAATATTGGCTAATAACTGATTAGAATACCAACATTGGCTAACAGCAACTGGAACAGAAGTAGAACTCAAACTCGAAAGGAACAATGTTGATGCCATCAGTAGGGACTGAACCAGGAGATTAGTGTGCAGATAGTGTTAGGCGATGAGCTCTGAGAACTTTTCAACAAAATCACAACCTAATCCAAAACACGATGCTATTGTTACATCAAAATAGGGTTGTTGTAAGGTTTAACTTATAGGATGAGTTGCTCCAATTGAGTGCTTGATAGCTTCTCCCGTGACTTTGTTTATAAGTGAAAAGGCTGGGCAACCCTCTTCATCCTTCACTCTTGTGTTGTACTTCAAATCTTTGATCCAGTGCTGAAATTAAAGTAGGGAACTTGAATGATTAATCTAAAAAAGGTCCACCTTGGTGGCATAAATTACTTTAACCAACAGAATTCAATTCAGATTCTTAAAACTCGAAACAGTTACCAGGTCAAGGCTTCTTTCTGCACCGGTGCGATCAACAGCTTTATTCTTCTCAGGCTCCACATCCATGGTCTCCTCCTCCTCAGCCTTTGACTCAATGGAGGCGTCAACATCTCGACTAACAACAGGAATACCGGTGACTTCATTCTCTTTGGCCATAACAGTATTAGTTTCTGCACCCGCAACCTCAGACTCCACTAACCCGTCAACAATCTGAGCCAAAGAAGAAGTCATTTCCCCTTTGCCAATAACCTCCTTATCTTTCTCTGACACAGCAGCATCTAGTTCCTCCTTTTCTGCAGACTTAAGCTCCACGATGGTCGTATCTACAGCCTTGGTTTCAACTCCCACATGTTTCAAAGTTTCCACTGCTTCTTCAAGATTTTGATTAGAACCAACAATGTGAAGATCAAACTCTTTCTCTGGCTCAGCAGCAGGTCTCGAATCAGTTTCCTCCTGTGATTCTTGAAGGGAACCTACTTCCTCCATCTTGGACTTCAAGTCTGCCCCCTTCTTCTCTTCAAGAAGAGGAACTGTTGCGGCTACTGCTTCAGATTCTCCATTTGCATCGAAGGCCTCATTTTCAGCAGAGGGCTCCCAATTCTTTTCTGTTCCATCTTCAGCCTCAACCTCGTCCACCAAGTAATTCTTCTCTATTGCAGCCTCAACCTCAATAGGTTTTGGTTTCCTATTGTCCAAAGCCAAATTATTCTCTGTTCCAACCTCAACCACGACAGGCTTCAATTTTGTATCGCTCAACGAATTCTTGCCGTTCTTCTCATTTTCAGCAAAACCCAAACCATTCCCCTCAACTCCATTCACAGAACCCTCAGTCTTTGACTCTCCCTCCTCTTCAAGATTCGACCCACCACTCCAAACCTCAACACCCTCAACTCTCTCATCTTTAACCCCAAAAAGATTAGGGATTTCGCTCAAACCCAATTTACGGTTCCACCATTCTCAACAGCCGGCATGGAAATTTCCTCATTCGATCCTCCGATCCCACGATCATCGTCGACCACTACTGGCATCTCCGAATTGGATAAAGAATCGCCGCCTCCGTTCTCTTTGGATTGAGAGACTGAGACGGAGTCAGCAGCCGCCATGGAATCGGAATCCATGATTATTAAAAACTGGGAATGGGGATAGCGAAGTGAAGAGAGTTGAGATTTTTAGGGCAATTTAAACACAAAAAGCTAACCCAATTCAAAAGATCCAATTTTGATTCAAACCCAAAAATTCCCTAAAGAAATTGAACACAAAAGGATCAAAAATCAACCTGATATTCATCTCTGGGATCAGCGGGCACGAGCACAACTTTCCCCTCCCTGATCGACAACGAGTAGTCCTCCGCGGCAATATGCAAGAGACAATTTCATCGTGAACTATTTTTAGGTGGTAGTGGAAAACGTGGATGAAGATAAGCAACGGGGAAGTTACCAGCACAAAAGCCGGTTGTGGAATTGATAAAACACATATCGGTTTTCCTTTAGTTATTATTATAAATAAATACGTGGATAATAAGAAATTTTACTGTTTACAATCTGGTTTTCCTTTAGTTATAAAGGAAAGTAGATATATATGGTATATTAGGGTTTTGAAAATGATATTGGTTTTGAAACTTCATCTCTCACATTTTAGATCAAGTCTCAGGTGAGTTTCATCTCTGCTAATCCCTCTCACTATTTTAAAAATGTTTTTAAAGAGTTTTAACATGTTTCATAGAGCCTAATTGACTAAATTGTGAATAATAAAGCAAATCTTTTGTATATATGTATAAAGACTAGGTCTTTTCATGTTTAAGAGATTAAAAACGAAATTTCAGAAGTGTTCTAAGACCTGAAAGTAATTAACAATGTTGTTTAACTAAGATTTAATTAGTTTAATCGTCATATTTGTGTTTCATGCATGTTTAAGGGTTTAAGCATGATTCTTTTTGCAATTAATCATGTTATTTGATGATTCCCAGAGATGATGATTGTATGTTCACAATGTTTTATATATGTTTCAATATGAATTAATCAAGTTTGAATCACAGAAACACAACACGAACACAACTGTGCAGAAACCTGCACAGTTCTGAAAAAATCAGGTTCGGTCGACCGTGCCTAAGCGGCAGTCGACCTCATGCCAGGCAGAAGCCTGGACAACCCCTGAAACCTGTCGCGGTCGAACGACGCAAAGATGCGGTTGACCGCCCACTCCTTATATGGCCTGTTGTTAAGGCATAAATATGTACCAAAAGTTGCAAGTGCACAACTAATCAAGTTATAGTATAAAAAGTTATCGATCCTATGAGGAAGGTGTTTGTAGGAAATTATTAGATTAGGTTCTTATGTTTTGTGCGTGAAAATTAGGAGTGATAAAAATTATGATTGTGGAGAGATATGATGAATGTTGTGAATATGTGCAAAAGTTAATAAATGAGATTTTAGATGAGAGGAATGAAGAGTAGATGTGATAAAAGAATAAATGAAATCCTAAGGAAATAAAAATAAAGGAAATAAAAATCAAGAAACAAATAAGAGAAAATCAAGAACTAAGGAAAAATCAAGAGAGAAAAGATGGAGGTTTTAATTAAAGATATGAGAAATCTAGAATTGAATTCCACTAGCTAATTTCAATTATAAAATATGAACTATTCTCTTTTTATCATATTTTACTTTAGATTTATTAAGCATAGACTATCAAACCATTTAAGGAAAGTATAACCTATCAAATTATCATCTAAGTAAAATTAATATTCATGACAAGAACAACAACTAGATAATAATTCTAGAATTCATAAGCATAACCTATCAAACCACTCAAGATAAGCATAGATTATCAAATTCTTCTTCTACCAATTAGTTCTCTAGTTGATTATCCTATACACGATTAAGCATAAGAGAATAATTCATACAATATAAAGAAAATAAAGCTAATTTCATGCAATTCTAAGATTCCTACAAGAATTAGCTCCACATCTTAAGAAATAAAAACAAGAAATGAAATAAAAAGAATAAGAACTAATTACACAGAAAAGAAATAAGAACAAAGAACTTTACACTATGAACAAGAAATAAATCTAACTAAATTGCAAAATAAATAAAAATGCAAGAAAATAAATCTACTCTACAAATTAAAAATGAAAAAAATAAAATAAAGACAAGAAAATAAATCTACTCTACTAGACATGAATGTAAATGTAAACTAATAAGCAATAGAAAAGAAATTACTATAAAAAAATAAAAGAGAAAATAAAAGAGCAAAATAAAATAAAAGCAAACATTCACATTGATCTACATCTTCATCATCATCATCAATAAAGAGAAGAAAATATGAAGATGTAAATTTCTTTTTTATTAATTGTAACAAAAGTTACAAATTTGGAAGGTCTTCTCAATTAAGAGTAACCCTCCTCTCCAAATAGAGTTGCAAAATTTTTCACACCCTAACCCTTCACTTTCTATCCCTATTTATAGTAAATATCAATGAATGTGAGCCCTTGGATTAAAATCTTATCCAAAACTATCAAAAATAAGCCCTTAATTCATAATAGAACTCTCAGTATCGATGTCAGCATCGATGCTGGTATCGATGCCGGCATCGATGCCAGCATCAATGCAAGCATTGATGTATTATCAAAATTCTACTTCATGGATGGCTTCGTCTCGTCGAGATAGGTGATTTTTATATATTATATATTAAATTCTGCCTTCTGGATTGGGAGATATCGTCGTTTCTTTACGGCAAACCAACTTGAATATCATTTCTCTTCATATTAGATTTTTGATTTTCGCCAGCTTCTATAGGCTACTCGGCTTGATTCTAGGCTTCAATAAAAGGTTACAAAATGAGGACGTTGGAATCTTTTGGGCTTTTATTTATTATTTCTTCATTAAGATGTAATTAAAGATAAAAACAATTATTAGTGGTATATTTATTCATGTAAAATATGATTATAAAATTAGGCTAAGGTCATTAAGTATGGAAATACTTCTTGAGCTTAATTACTCGGTCAGCTTAGGCCTTATAAGATAAAATCACATTGAATTCAAGACTTATTTTTTTTCTTTTTCTTTTTTTTAGGTGCCCATTTTTCGCACTCTTCTTTTACAAGATTATGTATATATATAGTTTGAAAAAAATGTAAATCAAGACAACCTGAAAAAAAAAGATATTCAAGTCTAAGTTAAGCATGAAAAAATTTCATTATTTTAATTAAAAGACTAAGTTAAGGCTTAAGTAAGGTATACTACTCTGAAAAATCATTTCTTAAGAAATTTATTTAGAGTTATCATAAAAGGTGAACTTGAGTATATTACTAACTAAGAATTAGAAAATTTAAAATCTATCAAATAGATCAATTATTACTTAACTTTGTTAATTTGGCAAGTGACAATATTTTTTTTTGGAAAGAAGCAAAAAAAAAAATATGACAAAAATGCAACAAAAAGATAAAATAAAGAGGAAATAAATAACTACTTCCCACCCTCACACCTAAATTTTGCATTGTCCTCAATTTAAATTCTCTTATGCACAAAGTAAAGCAGATAAGAATTAAGAGCTTACATTTGTTCGGCCGACCTAGGACAATGATGCTAAAAATCTGCAATTACCTTTAGTATGAGAATGATGAAATCAAATAATAAACAAAAGGAAAAAATTATTCTTCTCTTTTTTTTTCTTTTTTTCATATATATAACTATACTCTTTTTTTTCCTTTTTTTTCTTTTATTTTTATTTTTTTACAAATAATATGGTTTATGAAGAACCAACACCTCCTCTTCTAGTGTAGAAAATTCTGAAAATGGTTTTAGACGTTGATCATTTATTTTAAAAATGTCACCATTTTTAGGATTTTCTATCCCGATAGCCCCATGCGAGAAAACTTGTTTGACAATAAATGGACCTGTCCATCTTGATCTTAATTTTTCAGGAAAAAGATATAATTTTGAGTTGTACAATAAAACTTTCTGTCCCGTAGAATTTTTTTTTCGTAAAATTGATTTATCATGAAAAATCTTGGTTTTCTCTTTGTAAATTCTTGAGTTAATATATGCATTGTTTCGAATTTCATCCAACTCATTTATTTGGAGCAATCTATTTTTACCTGCCGAGTCTAAGTTAAAATTTAACTGTTTGATAGCCCACGTTGCTCGGTATTCCAACTCCACTGGTAAATGTTAAGCTTTCCTAAACACGAGCCTATATAGTGACATCCCCAAATTTGCCTTGAATGCTGTCCGATATGCCCACAGAGCATCACACAATTTTACAGACCAATCCTTCTTATTATGATTAATTGTTTTTTCTAAGATTTGTTTGATCTCCCTATTTGTGACCTCTACTTGACCACTGGTTTGAGGGTGATAAGGAGTTGATAATTTGTGTGTGATCGAATATTTCCTCATCAAAGCCTAAAAAGAACGGTTACAAAAATGTGTACCATTGTCGCTAATGATCGCTCTGGGTACTCCAAAACGTGCAAAAACATTCTCCTTCAGAAACTTGATAACAACCTTGTTATCATTAGTTTTGCAAGCTACTGCCTCAACCCATTTTGACATGTATTCGACGGCTACTAGAATGTAAATATTATTAGACCCTAGAGGGGGGTGATTAGGGTCTTACGCTAATCTAATCCGATTAAATGCTAATTAAAAACTAATTATCAAGTTATCCTAGCAAGTATGAAATATGACACGATATATGAGCTAGGATAAGCAATATGAACAATGAGATATATCCTATATGATAGAAATGTATGCATGGATATATAAACAATACAAGGGTAAATAATCTAAACAAGATAGTGGATGATATAGAAATGAGTAATGCACAATTGACGATATAAGATAAATGCAAAAACAAATACGCCAAAGACAAACTCAAACAAGCAATATATCTCTTTCATGAGTTAAACTAGCAACGTTTGAAGTTAAAGAAACATGATCCAATTTTAATTTTTCATTGTTTTCTTTAAGGATCACATTTTCATTAGAAATAGTTTCAAACT